AACAAGTGTTTACGTCCATCCTTCCACTCTGAGAAGACAACTCAATGCTATGAGTCTGAAAGGATGAGTAGCTGTCAAGAAGCTGTAAATCAAAGATGCTGCTGGTGCTCAGAACAATGGCCTGGCCGCCCCAGAGTCCAGACCTGAATATTATTGAATGTGTTTGGGATTCTTTGGATCATGAGATGCAGAAAATGCAAACAACTTCTAAGACTGAACTTTGGAGGTGTGGAACAATATCCCTGAAGATTTAAAAAAAAAAAACTGAAAGCAAGTCTCCTGAAAAGAATGGAAGCTGTAATAAAGGCAAAGTATTAAATACTGAAAAAATGTACTAAATTTAGTTGTTTAGTGCAAAAACACTAAATATCTGTTAAATATATGCTTTCCACTTTTTCCTGGTGCTAAAAACAGAAAAATGAATGATGGTCTCTGATTTGTTGCACAGTACTGTATATATAAGTTAGAGAACACCTGATACAGTGTGTGTCTGATAAAATCAGTCAATATTAAATTTTCACAGATTTGTCAACATCATCTCTTTGACAAAGCACCAATAATGTTTCTTAAAATGTTATAAAGACAACTATTTGAGTTTAATAGAGACCTGACCCTCACATTTGGCTGTCAAGTTCATTATTAAAGCACTATTTCATAAAATCTACTGGAGTCTGTTTAATTTTTGACCATATAAAATCACACTGTCTAAAATGACCAGTTATCAGAATTCTTAGCTACTCCAAATCAGTATCAGTGACTGGTTGGTCAGGCCCTAATACAGAGAACAGCAGTTGGATTGTCAGGGCCTAACAGCACAAAAGAGCTGAGCAGAACCCCCTCCAGCCCTGCATTACACATCCACAGACGTCAACTCCCAGTGCTATTAGCCACCACTCTTGCTTGGTCAACACACGAAGACAAAGTCAGTCATTATGGAGGATTCATATTGTAAGAAAAAGACACATCTCAAGTTCCAACAAAAGCCAAGTTCTTTTTATGGTAAGGTTCTTTGGGAACCACTGCAATAGTGTCCAGCCCAATTTTGCACCTGCAATTCACTATTAAAAGCAAATAAAGAACCAGCAATAAAGAGGTTCTTCAAAGAGTCACGTGTCAGCTGAGAGAGGCAAAGGGTGCAAAAAGAGTGAGACTGTTTCAAACGGCCATCGTCATGGAGCTCCGGCCTCACTGTGACATAAATAACCCAGCCATTGCCTTGGTCACAGTCTCAATGCGTGAAGCATCTGCACCTCCACACACATTAACCCCACATGCCCACTCCTTTCTCTCTCTCTCTCTCCTCAATACTCTCTCTTCTCCTGCTGGGCTTGGAAACATTTTCTGCATATAAACTGCATGTAAATGTTGCTCAGCAAACTGAGTCAGATCTCCATTTTATCCGTCCAGATGAAATCTGGTTAGATCTACAGTGAACCAACATTCATGCTTAAGCAAAATAATAAAATAAATGTAGATAAATGATCAAAATGTAAAAGGTAACTAATTCTTAAGGTGTTTTCATGCAGTTTTCAAGTTCTTTAAAAGCCAACGACTACACTACTATATAATCATATTTAAATGTATTTACCATGTTTTTAAAGCAGAAGTCTAGGACTGTTGCTATTGATTATATTAGTAATTGAGTAATGACTAATTTAGAAAAGGATAAAACTGGACTTAACAATAACAAAACATGCACAGCCTTTCAAATATTTCAGAACAGTTTAATGGAAGAACACAAACTCTTGGCTTTACAGACAGACTCATACTGCTGCTGTCTGACCAAAACCTCCTATCATCAAAAAAGTAACTGTACAGGAGAAGAACAAACCCTTCTTAAACCTTCTTCAATGTAAGTTAATGTAAAAAAATTATTCTAACACAACCGTGTCTATTGTTCCATTCACTGAAATTTGTATTGTTTAACTCGAGTGTAAACTCGATTCAAATTATGTAAAGAAAAATCACAGATGCAAGAGATAAATGGTTTGTTCTGAGAGTGACAATATTTATGATTTTAACCACCATAATTTTTAACAATATGTCTTAAACATTGTCCATTTTTTATTGTTTTGCTGTGTATTCATTTATGGTACATACAAGTCCGCACAGCCCTGGCACAAAATTTTTAAAATGCTGATATTGTGCTTCATTTACCAACCGTTCTTAAGAAGAAATGTCTTCTCAAAACCCACTTACACTTTTTCACGAAGATTCTGAGATTCACCAATGTTTTGTTATTTGGGATTCGTTCAGAATCTACACACACAAGAGCAAAAATGTACAAACAGTTCTGCGGTTTAAGAACATGTCATGGATCATGGATGTCATGGATGAAGACATTTTCATAGGACCTTTCTCAAGAACTACTTTAAGAAAAATCTCAGAAAGATTGTTCTCAAAAAATGAGTGATCACAATGTTTTATTTAATAGCACTCTGATAAAGCTATTTCACAATACAGAACATTTAATTTATCTCACAAATCACAAACAAGACCTTGGTCAAAAGTTTGTTTTGGTGCACAATATCATGTATCGCCAACTTAAACTTCAATTACTTTTTTAGGTCTTCTGCTATCACTTTGAATGGGTCTCTGGATGCTTTAGGTAAAGATGTCCATTCTTCCTGACAAAAGGCCTCCAGGTTCTATACGTTCTTCAGCTGCCTGGCATCTTACATTTTAATACAGCCTCAATGATATTGAAGCCCAGGAAAGGTGAGGATCACTCTAGAACATTAGCCTCCTCCCAGTGCAGCCACTGCTGGTTTGAATTTTCCTTGTGCTTTGGAACATTTTTTCTGTTGGAAAGTTCAAACTGGAGGGACTTATGCACAGCTTTTAGCAGATGCATGCAGATTTCCCTCCAACAATCTCTATTTCTGACAATCTGCTGTACTCATCTTGCCTGCAGTCTTGAACTTCCTCACTTCCTCTGCCACTGGTGCTCACTCTTCTTCAGAACAAGTGAGATTCATCTCCATATTTCATAGCAAGGATGGTATGTTTCTCTTTAAATGACTTACTGACTCATCTTCAAACATAGTGTTCCTGGTCATGGCCACAAAGTCCTTGGCTGTGTCTTCTGGACTCTCCAGGTGGTTCTGTTATATTCTAAGTAGACCTTTTTGCGCTGTGGTCTTAACTGCAGCTTTTACATCTTTGTTACATGTAAAAAATGCAAATTCGGAATTTTGCCTTGGTCCTCTCTAAAATGTTGTTTATTGATCCTGATCTGGTCTTCATCTCCACAGAACCAGTGCGTTTCCACCTCTTCTTGTCTTTTAACTGAATGTCTGAATCGTTCCAATTTTTAAACTATTTTTGGTAACATTTTGTTTTATATTGTTGAACAGCTTTCTGTCACAAATCATTTGACAGCTATTTTACTTTATTCATGTTTTGGAGAAGAAAAACTGACCAACATTTGTTTCGATCAAAGGTTTTTTGCTTGCTATTCAAATGAGAGGTTTACAAAAAGGCATTGCCGCAGACTCTTAAGGAAAAGGTAGATTACTATCTTTACCTTGAAGGTCATCTAAATTTGCTTGAATGTGCAAAAACAGGAACAAGACACCAGTTATGTTTAGACAAGACGTATGCCATGCAACACTGCAACGTTATTTTCTAATTCTTAAAGTGTTTTTTTTTATTGCAACAAGGGGTGTGTAAACATTCAGTACTGTGCAAACTCAAAGATCACCCGTCATTTAATTTCCAGTCAAAATGATCATTAAGTACAAATTATTGATTTTTCAGCATCAGGATTAAAAGCCTCAACAACGAAATATAATATCAAATTCTTTAGAACCCTGTATGTCCACCTTTTGCCTTCATTCCAGCTTTCATTCTTTTCCGATTTGCTTTTAGTTTTTCTAAGAAATCTGCATGGATATTTTTCCATACCTCTAAAATTCCATCTTGGAAGATGGTTGCATTTTCTGTTTCTCACAATCCAAGTAATCCCAAACACATTCAGTGATGTTAAGGGTCTGGCCTCTGGAGGGTGGTCAGCAAATATTTTGTTTGATTTGCAAATGTTCTTCTTTTCCTATTCCCTTTTCTCAGTACTGACTTCTTGACAGATACGTATCCTTTCAGACAGGTGTCTTCTCACAGTGGAAGGATGGACAGAAACACCTGTGGATTTGATCTGAAGCAAAAGGGGAACTTGATTAGCTGTGAAAGATGAAAGCTTAGAGTAGTGTTTATCTGATGGTGACAGTTTTGGTGGTCTACTAGTTCTTGCACAGTTATTAGGGGTCTCGTTTTCTCTACACCTTTTAATAATTTTGAACTCTGATTTTGGAAACTCTTGTTTTTTCCAATTATTTTTCTGAGTTTTCCCTTCTTTATGCAAGGGGATTGTGATATACTTACTCAGAAATATATCAGAAAAAATTAATAACTTGTAATTAATGGCTGTTTTGACTAGAAACTAAATAAATGAAGCATGGCCTCTATTTTATGTGCAGTATGAGCATAACTATAGTGGTGGTAAACTATGTAACAGAGACTTTGCTCTGAGTTGTTTTACCGGTTAAATAAAATTGCAGACAGGGTGAGGCTGCAGACTTCACACTAGGCAGCAAAAAATGAGACAAGTTGTATATTAACTGCATAGCAGGGCAGTTTGTCAGGTTGTACGATTGTAATTGACAGTAGATTCAAAATGCTTAGAGTCATAAATACTTAGAAACCAGTGTTGTTTCTCCTGCTGTGTTTGTAAAACCACAAACTGGCCATCAACCATTTCATGCCGAATCATCCTACTAATGAAATTCAGAGGCCATCTATGGGGAGACGAATCAAATGCAATAATGAAACTGGCTCTGCTATCTTCTTAGTCCTGTCTCTTTCCATCTAGATGCTTAAACATGTATTAACATTGAGTCATTACTTCATCGTCCTCAAAGCCCCCCCTTGAGGGATCCAAGCTTTGTTGCATTGTGGTAATGGAGCAAGTGTGAGTGAGATGACACATACACATGGATTCTTACCTTTTGTTCCAAAGAAAGACTCACAAGCCACAATCTTTATCCTCTTAGTTTTCAAATTCCAGAAATCCAGAAATCCCCCCTTCTAAGATCCAAGCAACTAAAAAATCTCCATTGTCACATCAGCTCCCATTTTTGCGCAGTGCAGCTCTCAGTGATTGCTGTGCTTGAATATCCAGCCCTCTTCTTCTCACATCCCCTGAAAGCAAGAAGAGACGTTCACTATTGTTTGCTTTCCCACAAGGCACTAGTTCCAAAGCCCCTTCCACGAGAGCTGTCACAGTCGCTCCTAGGAATAAGAGACTCTTCCCTTCTATTCTTTTCCTCTATCCCTCCCTTTTTGCTTCCTTTCCCTCTCTCCCTCCCCCTGCAGCACATCAATAGGCACAGCCCTCCCTCAGAATGCAAATACTCCGAAAGCCCTGTCAGCCAATAGCAGGGCTGCAAGCCCAGACGCCAGCCAATCACAGCCCAGTGTCATTTTTGAGACTTGAAGGTTGGGTCAGAGAGCTGTGGGGGGTAGTTATGGGAAAACGCAGTGGCAAATATGAAGAAAGAGAAGGGGAGGAAGGGACCAGGCAGAAAAGTACTAGTTCTACACTAAATGTTAACAAAAAAGAAATAAAGTTTGGTTCCTTTTTTAAAGGTGATGGTCAACAGTACAACAAATCCCAACTTCCACTGCTGCATGTTATCAAAGTCCACCGGCCTCGTTCCTGCCAATGATCATTCAGTCCAAACAAAACAATGAGGTCGCCCTGCTGTTAAGCAAAGGGCCTCTCTACACATAGCAAGGGTAGATATTCATTCAAATCAACCAGCAAATAGAATCCACAAGGGTAAAAGGTACAGTTATATGCAAATGTTTGGGCACCCTGGTCAAATTACATTTTTGTTTATTTTCTAAGGGAAAAATAAATTTAAAAACTTAAATATGGCAATTCTGCAAATTGTAGGGCACGATGCCTATTTATTTGCTAAATTTATCATGTAAGAAAAAAAATCTAACTTAACAAGCCATGACTTTTACACAGGCCACATTTTATGTTTTATTTTTTCCCCCAATATGTTAAATTCAGCCAACAGTAATTGTGCAATAAAATGTGCAGACATTCGCTCTCTGCAGAGGATGTGTTCACTTATTTACACTTAAAAAATCAACATGTCATTTGACCAGGGGAGCCCAAACGTTTGTACATGACTATAGACCTGGCTCATTCTCTACTGGTAACTCAGTATGTTCAACTGCACCTTTTTCAAGCTTCCACTGAAATATTTCATTGTTAAGGCCAGAAAACTTCAATGTATAATTAGAAAAATATGCATATATTTTGCCATCTGTAAGAAAACCAATGAAAACACACTCTCCAGTCAGTCTTACATTAGAATTTGTACTTCTTGATCAGGACGTTTCCAAAATACTGCATAGTGAAGGAGAGTGCATTCCAGAGGTGTTTAGATGCTTTGGAAAGGGCTGGATGAGGCCCACTGTTTTTTGCTGAAAATGGTCAAATGGACTGAACAGGCAAGAAAAAGAAGGGGTTCAAGTGTCCAGAAACTAAACATAAGGCTTAACTGCACACACTGCATACACTGGCTTGCTCATGGGGGCTTGGACCTGGATTTTTTTTCTGTAATGCTGATTTTCCTGTAAAGCTGCTTTGTGACAACACCTGTTGTAAAAAGCGCTATATAAATAAACTTTGCTTGCTTGCTACATAGAGTTGATCAAGGTATTTTTTCAAACATATTCATAACCAGTGATTAATCTGATCATTTACCTGAACACTTTAATTATGCAACATGCATTTAGGAAAGTAGAACAGGCAAAGAGAAGTAAGGGAATCACGTTACTCTCCAAGCTTATCAACATTTGAATCACAATGTCATTCTCATTAAATTTTATAACAGCGTAATTATTAACTGCCACTGAACTATTCTTTGCCTGTAAACAAACTGATGTTAAATTAATCTCCAACGTGCCTTCACATGAATTTTTGCTGTGACTACAAAGTCTTATAAAAGCCTAGGTATCCCAATTACTTGAGGATAGAAACAGCTAAGTCACACAAAAAGCACTCAGAAGGATACACTCACAAAAGTGAAGATCTCCTCCTTCAGTGGTAAAGAACATGTGACATACTGCGTCTATGCTTACTCACTCAAACTCCTCACACCAAACAGAGCATTAGTGACTGCGTTGTGCAAAGTTCATTCTGGGTGTGATTTACAGTATAATGAGGCAGGATCAGCATGTGACAGCAGTAGGAGAAGCAAGTTCTAATGAAGTACAGACATGTTTTCATGCCCTAATATTTTACGCAGCGTGAACTGATATTTCATGTTACATGTTGTTGGGAGTGAGCTTACAAGTAAAGGAAATATAAAGCTATATTATGATTAATACCACCTTCATTAGAGAAATAAAAATGTGTTTTCCATGATGCATCACAAAACTAATTATATCTAAAACTGTTACAAATGGATATACAGCCTTTTGAAAGAAATACATATACATAAAAATGATCTTTATTTGTGTATTAGGATATATTATGTATGTTGGTCATTTTTTTAGTGTCAGACTGATAAAATGGAGTGATTTTAAGTACAATGCAACCTCCCAAAGAGCATTTGCAATTTCTAGTGAACATCACTACATTAGCTAAATGTATTCTAAACTGTATTGCGAGTCTCTTACTACTATGCAATGGTTGGAGGAACATTAGCTATTGTTAACAGTGGCTGCTGAGCCACTGAATATGAAACTGGCAGAACATGAAAACAGCAGCTCTGTACAGCTAAAAACAAAAACCTTAATGTCTTTACTGCCTCACTGAAACAGATAATGTTAGTTTGTTTATGCAACTGGTAAAAACTGACACAGGTTCATGATGAGAAAGTGACTGAATTCATTTACTGATTCATATGTTTACTGCTGTTTAGTAAACTAATATTTGTCCGCTATACAACACAACACTAATGAGGAAGTAGGGGTCTAATTCAGTCACAGCCTACAGTATGCTGGCTTCAAAACAGCAATGGCGTATAATCACATCTATGGCTTTTATTTCAAGCTCTAGCTTAACCAGAGACAAACACTTGTAACTAGCATTCCAGTAGCATTTTCTTAAATTTGTTAGTGACTGTCTCTGAACATTATTGGAGGAGCCTGTTAGTCCTCCTTGTTATCTGTTGAGCTATTCAGCCTACTCTAATGAGGGCAGTTCATATTCCAGTTACAGAGAATTATAGGATATAGATCAGTTACAGAGAGCCTGTTAACAGCATCCACAAATCTCACACTATTTTTAAAAAGCTCTTTTCGGAAAATTGGCATTCAAAAATACTTACATGTGAGTGGGAATTAGATCACGTCTGCGATTTGGCCGCAGAGAAGCAATAGAGCCTCATACAGGCCTATTAGAGAACAGTCCATTGTGAGATGAATACGACAAAGGTAAAATAGTACTGTCATGAGAAATATAGCAAGGTTATACAGCAAATGTATTATATACAGCAAATGTATTATGTACTTACAGATACCATTATTATTAGTATCATCATTTATCACTAATGTATTTATGTTTTATTTTATTCTTGTAAATAATTTTTTTTCCTATCAGTAGGGGCTCCCCTCTGTGTAGATTTCCTCAAAACTTATCCCACAGTGTGTGTGTATATTTGACATTCTATGTTTTGGGCATCTGCTTTATTTCATTTTCTATTTCATTACTCAGCAAAATTTCTCCCTTCTTCCCTTGCCAGCATCTCCAGACACCATAACCATGTGTGACAATTCAGCCTCCCTGTCAGTAGCACTAAGAAGAAACCATATCCTACATTTATTGTGTATTTTATTTTAGATTTTTTTAACATTCACTGATGTTTATATACCAAAACAGTCATAATTCATTTTAAAAGATAATTTTCCACATCTATCTATCTACCTATCTATCTATCTATCTATCTATCTATCTATCTATCTATCTATCTATCTATCTTTTTTTCTTTCTTCCTTTCAATCATCCAGGCTGTTTTTGATACTTCACTGCTCAAGGTTGGTATATGTAAATGACATATGTTTATTGTGGCCTTTATTGTGACTCATCCGGAAAGCAATCCAGGCTGAAACACTCCTTCAATATGAATGAGTGGAGCTAAAGTGTGTTGGTTTTTGTGACATCCAGAAGCATAGATTCAAAATGGCCTGTTTTTGCAGTCATATGGGGAAGACTGAATGTTACATTTTGAAACTTGAACAATGGAACTTTTACAAACTACATCAGGGTTTCCCAGCCTTGGTCCTGGAGGGGTCCTTCACCTGCACACAGCTCAACTTAAACCCTGTGGAGACGTCACCAATGTGCAGACTCATAGGAAAGGAGACCAAGCGAGTGCTTGGCTTAAACACGTGCACCTGGAATAGACTCATGGGACATGCAGGTTCTGCATGTGCTGAACCTGGCCTATCGGTCGTACTGATCTTATTTTTTTTTTTTTAATGAGCTAAATGTGCCATCTACTGCGGCTCAGTTCAGATTACAAGTATAATGCAGGTTAAAGACCAGTCAAGTAAACAAAAGCATTTGAACTCACATCAGAATAGCTTCATCTCTGGCATGTTGGCCAGACAGCAGTAAACAAAGCCATGCACTCTGACTGATCCTCACCTGTATCTCTCTGAATTTTGGGTAAAAGGCAGCTGCTGAGTCCACATTATGCAGTCTTCAGTAAGGCTGCATAGAGGGCCATCGGGGTTCTGGTCCTATCTGCAAAGGGCCGGTGTGACTGCACATTTTCATTCCAGCAAAGCAGGAGCACACATGATCAACCGAAGACGGAGACCAACTGGTTTGAGTGCTACTCATCAAAGAAATGTTTTTCAGTGACAAGAGCTCTTATGGGAATCTATCTTAATCATCTTTCATAAATCATCATGATAAAACTCCTTTTATCCTGAGAGCCAAACACCTACACAGCTGCATTTTATAAGTTTTTGTGATATGGGAAAACTTGGTGGGATAGCTGAGGAATTATACCTTCCTCCAGATCACCAGAGGGCAGTACACACCTCAGTAGGAAAACTCCTAAAGGCTGTCCTGTCCACACTTTCAAATCCCATGTGTTTCTGTTTTGCGGGCTGTCCGCCTTGAAAGTTCAATGGACCCATCTAAGCATATGCCGTATAGTTAGCGACAGAGCTCCATTTTGACAAAGAAACAATCAGTCGACAGCGGAGAGTGGAAACCCAGACCGCCCGGTTAGCGAGAGCGTTAAACGAGTCCTTCTTTCATTCACCGCGGTGTTTCAAACAGGTAAACAGCTAAAAACATTTCTCCCAAAGAGGAAAACTGAAGTTTCAC